AAATTTCCCACGTGTGGGACTAATAAAGGTTATCTTATCTTATCTTATACTCAAGTCATAACAAAAACACCAACTTGTTCGACCGATGAGGAGGTCAGTTTGGGTCAGGAGCCTAAGCTGACCGCCTTTAAATGATCTTCAGTTAGGTTTGTTCAGAGAGTTTCTCAGGACTGATTGTTCTTCCATGAATTCAGTTGCAGTTTGAACAAAATCACCAGCAGGGGGCATAAGAGCCTTCAACTTCAGGCAGTCAGTCACTACAGTCTATTTTAATGAATCATCAGGGTTGAGTGGAGCAGTTTGGCTGTCAAGTCTGCAGTAAGGAGAAGGAAAAAGAAGAGGCCCTCAGCTCATTATCCGCACCACCGGGGGGATGTGTAGCTGGGAGAGTAGCAGGAAGGTGTTTCTCATGTCTTCCAGCCAATAGACACTCTTCTTCGAGACAGGTTGTTTTGTTAATAAGCATTTGAGATTATCAGGGATATGAGCTCAGCACTAGCCTACTACTCTGTGAGTAGCTGGGGGCCCATATAGTTTGTTTTGCCGGTTAAAGTGTTTTATAACCTAGACCATTCGCTTTTAATTCTGTTAATCCACTTGAGCTTCGTGTAAAGGTCTTTAAATCTTTGGGTCTTGGTGTGTGATGAATCAGATTTTAGCGTGACTTGAACCTAAACACTCCTTGAGTCCTAGACCTGATGCCCCTCCCCCTTTATATCCAAACATTCACTCCTTCCAGGTCCAACTAGCCACGAAACTTTGTGTTTTGGAGTTGAACACCCCGCTTTCTTATGCAGGACCACCCTCTGCGACCCTCTTCCCTCCCTCCACTCTGTGCTTCTATCAGGGAGCAGTGAGAGCACCATTGCTCAGGCCCCGATTGAAAGGAGAGCATATACAATGGGGTCTTTCTCAGTGGCTCTCTGTCTCCATTAAAAACCCTGGGAACACAACACTGTCCGCAGAGCTACTCTTAAAGGGGCAGTCGGACGGAGTTCTTCGCAACCTGAGTTCCAGCCCCTCTCATTGTTTTCAGAGAAGAAGAAAAAAACAGAAATATACACAGCAGATCAATTCATTCATGAATGATATGAGAACCCTGCAGGGACTTCTCTCACGCAGCGAGAAGCATTTCCTCACGCACACACAGAACACACTTCAGACCTACAACAGTAACTTAGATGTAAATCAAGGAAAGCCGCAGTTATTTAGACTACAGCTGAGAGTGCTTCAAATTGTTATGACTGAATCCGGATTTTCAAACAAATTCCCAGACATCGTGATGGTGACTCTGTTTGTGTAGAATGGAGTAAATGCAAACAAAAATAGTTTGAATATTTTTCTGTAATGCGTTAATGCATTTTTGCTGACATTCCGTTTGCTTTTGACTGGTTGGAATAACAAATCGACATGTTCAAATGTTTTAAACAGCAGCAAGATAATGAAGAATTAATAACAAAACCTGCTAAACCTGGATATGGTATTTTAATAGTAGTACTTTTAAACATTTATATGTTTTAATTATTATAAAACAGTATACAGAAAAACAATAGATGTGGATAAGCAATTAACTTTGACAGCGCGATTAAAAAAAAAAATTTTTTTAGGAAAAAAAGAAAAAAGTTTATTATTAAAAAGGCAGGTCTGTAACATTATGTTTTCTTATTATATGTACATGATGCTGTCATGTTGCACACACTGAAATGCACAGGCTTGTGTTTTAAACAGTATTTCAAGCGCGAAACTTTTGATTTACGGAGACATTTACAACTTCTGGGCTTCCCTGTGTAATTAAAAAGCGAATGGGAGATTGGGCAGAGACAATCAGCATGCCGCAGAGTTTCTCACATCCTTTGAGAAAAGGAGGGAGACTGTGGAGGAGGAGGAGGAGGATGAGGAGGAGGGTGGAAAGAACTTGAGTTGAGGAATTTGAATCGTGTTTGAAAGGGGGAGAGGGATAAGAAAGCCAGGGGAATGTCTGGAGTCGCAGGGAACCTGTAGGCAGGATAGAGACTTTGGACAACCGGCTGCAGGAAAGACTGGTTTAAAAATACGCTCTTGGTCGCTAGAAATAGACTCTCGTTTGGACAGGAAAAGTTTAGAGCGTCGTTTGCTGTGCGCTTTTTC